CGCTAGGCAGACGCTACCTTGGCACGAGATCTGAGGAATCTTCACATTCAAAGTAATCACGGTGGCTTTCGAGAGCCGAAGAGGAAAAAAGAGGTTATATCCAGACTGTGCATCTAAATGAGCAGTGCTGTCCGATAACTCTGCAACTTGCAACTTTTTTTTATTTCTGTGACGGGCTACAGGGATCAAGAGGCAAGGATATTCGGTAGAGCAGAAAATTTCAATTTGGGGATTATCCTGCAGGATTGAGATGATTTCATTATGTGAAATCCGCTGTAAGCCAACTAAATCAAAACCCTGAGATCCTGAGGTGTGGTGGTGTGTTCGTGTCTCATTGTATACTCCCCATCAGATAAGCTGAAATTGCACAAGACTTTGGTCTTAAAAGGTCTGGGATGATTATGGTGAACCAGTTGGCTCCAGGTACGAGCGGATTTAAAGACTACTGACCATGAAACACTTGATCTCTAGCTTTCTGTAGGATGTATTTCCAAGTGAACAATCAGCATTCCAAATCCTAACTTCCATCATAAAGTTCACAGACAAAAACAAGAAACTTACAGCTGACATTTACACTTCACCTCCACTAAATGTTTAGGCCTCAACCACTATGTGAACACGGCCATTTGTTTGTCTGTACTAAAAACTTTCTTGATTGGCAGCATTGTTCAATTGAGCCTCTATTTATCTTTACGATGTTCGTGGACAAATGTATTTACCGGTGAGAAAGGGGAGAACTGTACACAGTCTAAATAGCCCCATCAGGGCCGTGTGAAACGGGATGTTTAAACTCTATTGGTGTCATATTCATGACCTGCCCACCAGCCAAAAAAAACAGTCGCTCTGTGATTTCATGGACAACAAGAACACAACACATGAAGAAAAGACTGACTATTTGTCAGTTTGTTTTACTTGGGACAGCTTGTGCAACAGTGTACGCCTCTTGAATAAACTTTATTTAAAACTGTAAAATGGGGATTTATATGTTAAGATAAGAAACTATCAAATAAATCCAAGACAAGAAGCGGAAAATTAATTCTAAAATAGAAAGACTCTTCAGGGACAGGCAGGATGTGGGGAGAGAGGTAGAAGAAGGCAAAAGAGAGACTGCACAAAGGGAAAAAAAAGCATGCAGAACCAGTAGTTACTTCATTTAAAAAGCACAAACACACCCAAGTCAATTACTACCCATACAAATCACTCACCACAGTGCACAGTCACACAACTGCAACTTAGTCACCAACTGTTTGTTACGTCAGCTGGGGATGAGTTTGGAGACACGGACAGAAAGGGAAGGAGGGGGGAGAGAGAAAATGGTTTACTGGAACCTCTTTGGCGAGAGGAATAATAACTTTACTGGAACTCAGTGGACAGTTGTTCCACCAAGATGCCATTTTTCACCAAGACACCCAAACTGCCCTCAGCAGTCCAAATATTCCACATTGTGTCTCCCTTTTTAAATGTGGGATTAAGCCTTATTTGTAGAGGCTTTAGAGCGGCTCATGAGGTGTGGACCTGGACGGTTAAACACAATCCCGAGGACCAGCCAGGGCAGCCCGTGGGCCTTTGTGGGGTGACACACGGTATGCTGCTCTATTGTGCCAGGGAGGATTATGGGTAAGGAAGGGCGTGATAGTGAACGAAGGAAAACTCTGTCAGTGTCAACAGTGAGTCACAAGTGGAAACCCACAGAGCTGCTGTCGATTTAAAAGCCGACCACTTAATTGCAAAAAAGTTAAGATTTGTTTCCAGAATTTAAAAATAAGAATGTTTATTTTCTCACTAAGTAGAGTGAAAGCACGGCATCCTGATCTGAAGCAGGTGCCACACACACACACACACACACACACAAACAATGTTTTTTATTATTGTTATTTACTAAATATATATTTTTATTAACACATTTAATTTGTGTCTCATCAAGTACTGTTCTTAAATATAGTTTTGAGGTACTTTTTTATTCTGCTTTGTGCTCCTACTGTTTTACATTTTAGTAAATATTGTATTAGTTAATACTTATATTCTGGATTTTTTCATACAAAATACATTTATGAACATGATGCATTGGTATAAATTAAATTATCAGTATATAAAATAATCAACCAGCTAAATTAATGCTGGTTAGAGATTTTAATACTCCTTTTACCAGAGAAAGATTTTTATTACTGTTGCATTTTATTTTAATTAAAAGAATTATTACAATACAGTTGTATTAATGTATAAGCTGGTTAAGCAGTAATAGACGGTAGGGGGGAATAGACAGCAAAAGGAGTATAAAAAACACATTAAGGCCTTCATCAGTCATGTGAGGATTGTGGTAATATACATAAATCCTGAGAGCAACTTTCACTGCGCTAACACTATTTCCAGAGTATTTTATAATTGACGCTCATGTATTTTGAGAGCCAAAATGATTCTTTTTTATAGTACTCTGCAATGCTTTCATAAAAAACAAAAGCCCGTTTTGTGCCTCACTACCGCTGACTTATATGATTTATAGCCAGTTAATAAAAGCTTTTACATTTGCTGCTCTAAACACTGTGGTAGGCTTCTGCGCCACAGGAAGTGATGTGTTTTATCTTTAGAGTTTGTTTGTCCGAAAGACGGACTCTGTAGTTAACATGACCGATGGCGGCCACCAAGAGAAGAGCGCCACACACCACCTACAGAAACCTCAGCAGAGAGTTGAGATCCTAGAAACACAGTTTGACGGACGAGTGATCTCGAAGCCAAAAAACACCACAGCGGTAAACGCTGATGAGGAGATGGAGACGAGAACCAGATAAAGTCACAGATTTGGACTTTAACAGGTCCCGCAGGGCCAAGGAGTCATAAAACTGAGTGAACACTCACTGAACATGGAAACTTTCAACCTAAGTAAGAAAAAACACCACAATCGAACTTTTGTGGTTTTTCCTTGAACAGCATGGAGTACAGGAAAGAAGTGGGGAGGAAGATTAACTGTGTGTCTGTATGAGATTCCACTTAAAGCCCTTTTGAACCATTCATCTTGGCCCCACACTGCAACCATGTGATTCATTTCCACCTTCATCTACAACTGCCCTCATGTGTCTTCCAGCCTCTCATTTACTTCATCCCGGTGGCTTTTTGGGATTTTTCTTTGTTTGGTCATTTTTATGTGAGGGCTTGACCCGGAGCTGCTCTTCCCACACCCCCTTGGGAATTCCACAGGTCTGGAGTAATGTTGGGAGGCTCCTCCTCGGCAAACTGATCAGGAATGTACCAACCAAGAGGGAAGAGGAGGTGGAGGTGGGCTCCTCCGGCCTTGCTGGGGAAACACAGCACTTCATTGTTCGCCTACCTTTACATTCCATTCCTCACCTCTCTCTGTTTTAAAATCACACCCCTCCACTAAACACAACCTCTCCATCGCTTTTGTATGACTTTTCTTTCATTCCTTCCTGCCTCTCCCCCTCCACCTCCTCCCTAATCATCTTACCTGGCACTTTCCCGCAGCTAAAAATGATGTACTGACAGAAAACTTCATCGCTTTTATCGCTCTGTTGCCAATGGGAGGGGAACTAAGTGGGAAAGCGAATCTATTATAGGCAGACTACATGTGGATTTACAACTGCAGTCCAAAGTGTGTGTTCCACAGTGTGATTAAAGATATTCATACCTGCGTGCATGTGTGTGCGTGTGTACAAACAAGAATTCCAGAAAAAGCAGAGGAGGAGGCGGAGGAGGAGGACTACTTGGGGTGGATGGGAGTCTTTAGGTGTTCTGTCATGGAACAGATCTCAACAGGCCCTTGCATGCCAGCTTGTGTTGTATATTCACATACACTGCTGAAGACACACAATACACCCCAAAGCTGAGGCTCAGTGAGTTCATGAAAACAGAGGGGGAAGAGGGAAAGATGGATGCGGAGACAGACAGGGGAACATGTCGACATGCCTGCTCACAAGAGGAGGGCCTCTGTTTTCTGTGATGCTTGAAATGAACAAAGTCAGTGAGGCTCAGAAACTTCCTCCTGCCACCCCCCTTCCCCACACAAGCCTTGAAGATGCTAATCCATCACAGTACAGTAGCCCCCCTGGCTTCTTTGATCACTTTCAGTCACTCTGACAGCCCTTCCCACAACAATAAAAGCCGTCTCTGCAGGACTTAAAACACAACTACATAACTACAAAGTCAAAGGACTGAGTTATGGTTGGACAACGTAGCACACCCATATCAAGATAAGAGAACAGATGATAATGAGAAAGTAGGAAATCACCTGATGCAACAGGCTGTAAACTATGAGAAGTCTTGCGAAAGGTGAAGGGTTTAAGCATGACTTCAACATTCATTAAACAACTTTTTAAATGTATGGTTTTCAAAGTCATTCATGACTCTGCGACCAAAATAAAACACTCTAAAGAAGATTTATGTACAGCATTGTGTCCTAAAAAAATAAAAATATAAAAAAAAATAAAGAGTAACTAATGGTAAATTGTTACTTCAGGCTTCAGAACCTATAGGTGCAAACTCAATGTAAGCTCTTAGCACCTTTAGACTGAAATGTTTCTCACTGCCCAACTTGAGCCTTGATGACATAAGGTGTGTATCACTTTAGAGCACAAGGAAATAAGCGAGGCCTGTACAAACATTTACTCAAAACTGTGCATCTTAGAATCTTATCTGAAACTCAAAGACACATTTCCTAATTTTATAGGTATCGGTTCAAGGTCAGGGATGATGCTGGGACATGTACAAGAAGGCCTGAGCATTCCTTCCATTGCAGAGGAGCCATGTTAGCCAAGGGGAGAATTCCGCTGAACAATGATAATAACACCTATGATGAATATATGCGCTCTCTCATATCTCATAACAACCTATGGCAATTCAAATAAAGTAAATGGTGAGTCATGCCAAATGGTCACTTTAAAAACACACTCTCATGGGAACTGCGTCCTAAGTTTACACCCAGACAGGTCGAAGTGCCTCAAGGCAGAAAGACCTTTAGAAATGCCAAAGATTCTGGAGCACACCCTTACCTTGACACGCGTCTTTTACTTCTTCATAGCCTGATTTGCACTGGCACTGTCCAACTGGAACCACCCACTCCCCATCCACAGTGCAGTAGATGCGAGGCAACTCCTCACTGATGGCGTTATCCATGCACACCCCACTGACCTCCCTCAGTGCCTGGTTCTCACCTCCGGCCACAGTCTCAGGGAACGAGGCCAGGCTCTTCACTGTGGCTGGGCAAGTTTTGTAGTAGACCCTGGCAGAGAGTAGAGCGACGCAGGCTCCGATGTCTTGAAAAGCCAAGTAGAAGCCTTTTCGAGACAGATTCTCCACTACTCGTGTCTCAGTGTTGATGTGCAGTTCATTTTTGCTGGTGATCTCGTCAGGCGCTATGGTGGCCACTTTCTTAAACTGGCCCTTGCGGAAGGTAGTGCCCACATCTGCATCCGACTCAGATGTGAAGAGGTTGAAGGTTTCCTTGCAGGTCACCGAGGAGTCACCAAAAGAGTTGCAGTCACGTACGATAAACTGAAGTTCAACAAAAACCCGGGAGGCCGCTGGACGCCGCTGGATGAAGGTGGTGCGCAGCCAGTTGTCCTGCTCACGTTCCCCTACATTGCAGACGGAGTAGGTATAGAACTGAGAGCCGTTCAGAGTCCTCTGGACGACCTCCCACTGAAACAAAATCACAAAATCAACAAGGTTAGAGGTACAAACACTAGGGGAGCCCTTAAACATACTTGGCTGGACCAAGTCTATAAAGGAGGCAAAAATAAAAGGGCACCATAACACTTCACATGAGGTTCAACCATTGTAATCTGAACCTTGAAACAAAAACAGTCTGGGAACCCATGGTACTACACATAGCTAATTACTCCGCCGGAATATTTTAACTATCCTTCACAGCAATAACACATTTCTGCAACATGGAAGGTTCCACTTTATGAGCCTTTACAGCATAAGAATACAGCAAACCTCAAGGACTTTATGTGAGAAAGCATTTCTGACATTGCAAAGATACCAAATTATTTCCAACTCAGTCTTTCACATACCCTTGCTACTGATGGCATCTTCCCCAAATAGCGATGCTACTCGCATACTAAATGCTGCCACAAATATGTTTGAAAAAAATTGAGAGCATGTTTTAACATAACCGTGGCTCTGGAGGAACAATTTGCCCCCACGGGTGTAGAACCTGTGGTTTTCGCTCTCTGCAGTAGCCACTGCTATTAATTAAAGGAATGTGCTTTGTTGGCTGAGTGTGTGGCTCTGCGTATAAACTTGATGTACAAAAGGAGAACCGACACATCTATTAAACAGCTGGTGAACATTTTATAAGGGGCCTTTAAAACTTAAAATAATAATTATCATAAATGATGGTAGTTACATGAGAAAGTGTGCACAATAAAAAATGCTTCCAACAAACCTAAAACAAATATATAAAACACCTGAAGCTTATTAGTGCAAAAAGTGAAACTAAAGTGAAACCTCTCTTAGGAGAAGTTGGGTGAGCCACTGTGAACAGCACGCCTGTACATGCCTTTAAGCCATCAGCACATGAAATGAGGCTATTTACAGTGAATTTGCATGAGCCTGACTGGTCAATTACTTTGAAACCGCATATGGAAGAAGACACACATGACTCCTCTATACAGGCAAAGAGACAACCACAGCATTTGGGTGTAATAATGTGGCTATTCTCTAGAGACATCTCTAAATGTAGACATTTTGGTTGAAGGAAAAGGTAGTTCTGACTGATTGGCCCCATCTAAACCCCCTCCCCCTCTAAAAAGAGGTACCACATGCTGCAAACTTTAAAAGTTAATTGCTCTCTAACATACAATTCAAGAGCTGAAGCCTTGAAACCGCAAGAGGCCACAAGTATTCCCAGTTCAGAGCTAGCAGCTATTCTGTCTGCCTAAGATTTGGTGTAGCCCAGACATGCTCTGCAGGCACCTCCTGATAGGATCCTACAACTCCCTCTCATATCCATACTCAAGCAACCATTAGGCTCTAACTGCCTGATTTTATAGAAACCTGACATGTATATACACCAAGTCCACTTAACAGTTAACCACCAAAGTCAAATGGTCAAATATTTCTACACTGGAGGCTCTCAGTTCAGCCGGGCCCTTCCTGTACATTTTCTACATGCAGATCTATCCTAAGGCAAATTCCAAGTGGGAACGTGGGAGCTGGAGGAGACGTTGCAGTGATACTCACCCCGGGCTTGTCTCCCTGATCTAATGGCCATGTCAACCAACCCATTTCACCTCCTGTTGCCCTCATATCCAAAAGCACCTCTGTGGAGACATGAGAACACCGTCAGAACATGAGGATAAAACTTTTAACTCATCAGAAAAGACTCATTTTGACTATAAATTGATGAATATCATCCGACTTCTGTTTCCTAAAAAACATTTTAAAATGACAGTAATTATACATTTTCGGCATAATAACCCCAAAGAAGATTCATGTAGAATCTAATTTAACATAACCAACACCCTCTTTATTTTAAAAAGGTTGTTCAAAACTCTGGCTGTAGAAGTCTTATGAGTTAGTTTTATTGGTCACTTTGAATTACTGAATGTCATAAAATATAAACACTGTAAACCCACAAAGGGGGGAAATAATACATACAGAAAAAAAAGAATGCAACATTTTCAGGTCCCCAAAAAGGAATGAACACAGCAATGTTTCAAACATAGTGGAGAAATCCGCAAACATATGCCTATAAAGCCATAAGATAAGTAACCTGTGCCCACAAGATAAGTAACTTGTGCGCACAAGATAAAAAATAATTATTTTTGGGGACTTTAGGGGCTCCGTAGAAAGGCATTGCTCTGACAGATTCACCTGCTGGTGTTGGAAAAGTTTAGAGCAGCGCACATGCAGGCTACACTCTCAGCTCAACTGCTCATTAGTTATTAAATGTACAACTTCAACTCCAAGGAAACATTTTTATACAATTAATGCGTTTTCATAAAATACGATTTAAAACTGTCACTGAGATTAGTAAAGTGTGTTTCCTGGGTTTAAAGTTTCTTAAAGGAAGTTCCCCGCATGGCACGCGTGCTTTACTCCAATAACCTAACAGATTTTAAGGTAATCAACTTTTGGGAGATTATTTATTTATTTAAAAAAAAAACACTTACCTTCTTTAGTCTGTAATGTAATTAATATACCATTAATGAGTACATATGAAAATAATAAAGGTCTGACTCCAGCAAAGAAATCCATTTGGCAAACTTTTCCTTCCTCTCTCTGACTCTCGCTCCTGGGCTTGGCTGGGACTCTGCTCTGAGAGGTGAGCGCTACTCTCTGCAGCTCATTCACAAACGGGCCAGCCCGTCACAGACTCCGCCTGCTGGAATGTGTGTGTGTGTGTGTGTGTGTGTGTGTGTGTGTGTGTGTGTGTGTGTGTGTGTGTGTGTGCGTGCGTGCGTGCGTGTGTGAGGGGTGTGTTTTCAGGGTCGGGGGTGGAGGGGGGATGGTTGCTCATGAGAAACTTCTGCAACTTTCAGGGACAGTCGGAAGATTGGCAATTTGGCACACATTGAGTCCCGGGTACAGCCTGATCCATGTTAATTGTGTAATTCTTTTCTAGAAACCATAGCAACCGTATCCGTGTATAATATTATTCAATACCGAACTATACAAACTGGGACAAAGTAGAACAACTGCAGGATCAAGATAATCAGAATCACTTTATTGGCCGGGTATGTGCACACATACTATTAAGACAGTATTGTTAATTATTAACATTTAAATCATCAGCTAGATGCAGTGATCATTGTTTCTGAGGATTTTCTTTTCATTTTAAATTCCTCTCACATAGCTATGTGGGTGAAGCATAAAAAGCAGTGGTCTGTAAAATACTCAGATATTTTACTCTAGTAAAAGAAACAATGCAGTGAAAAAATACTGGGGCAAGTCCTGAATTTAAAATCTTACTTAAGTCGACTAAAAGTAGTACTGGCAAAATCATAATATTGTCATTAGATTCTTATTACAGTTGCATTTATTAGCAGCATTTTCATGGCACATCTGGTGGAAGGGAATTAAATAACTCATAACTTAAGCCATCAGATAAATGTATTAAAGTAAGTGAGTAAAAAGTACAATATTTCCCCTCTAAAATGTAGTGGAAGTATAGCATAAAATGGAATTGCACACGTAAAGTACAAGTACCTTAAAACTGTACTCAAGTACAGCATTTTAGTATATAAGTTACTTTCCACCACTGACAAAAAAAAAAGTGTCATGACTTATCTAACCGGTGTCTATGATACATCCATGGAGGCCTGCGATACTGAATTACTGCAGTAAGGGCACACAATTAATTTCATACATAAAGATTTGAGTGAATATTTGTGGATCCTACAGAACAAGCAAGTATAACTGTGCTGAAACCACTAGTGAATTAGTCAACTGATAGAAAATGTATCCCTAACTATTTTCACCATTTATGAATTGTTTAAGTCAAACATTTGCTGGTTCCTGTTTCTTAATGTGAGATTTGCTGCTTTAATCTTAATTTAATATCACTGTAAATGAATAAAAGTATTTTGAAAATGTCTTCTTGGGATTTGGGAAACTGCAATAGGTATTTTTCACCATCTATTCATTGTTTAACCCCGAAAAATGTACATTTACAGATGAATGCAGCCTCAATCTGCACTACATTGTCTTCCTGTGCAACTCTGAAATGCCAACTTGTCAGCCACTCTCCTTAAATCCAAAAGAAGTCAAATTTACAGTGGCACTTGAAGTCACCATAACTAGTAACATTTTTGCCTACCTGGCCATCAAGCAGCCTGCAGGGCCACAGAATCATTTGCATGGAGATATTGATTTAGAATTGTTTGCCACATTGAATGGGCCTCTGGAGGGAAAAGGAGCGGGAGCTGCTTTACTTGGTGTTGCTTTGTTCTGAGCATCCCCACATACAGAGGTAGAATCATTGTGACAGGCGGAGAGAGATGTATTCATATACGCATAATAGCAACTCTGAATACCAGAATTCAAGAGTACAGCTGGCCTACTGATAGCCCATCATAATTTATGGGAAATATCCCAAAAATGTTGCACCCTGCCTACCCTGTAGACAGACAGTGGTCAAGTTATGAACAAAAAACAGTTTAATCTGGTTTTTCAGTCCCAGGAGGGTATGTGGGAGTGGGAGTGGGGGAGTCCAGTATGAATATGGGGAATTAAATAAAGTCCTTTACCTAGCAACTGGAGCAGAGTGGAATTCACTGTCAAGCTTTATCTGACTTACTTTCATTCTTTGTTGCCCAGTGTAACTATGGCAAGATGTTGAGCAACGGCTATGGAAGTGATAAATTCTGTGCTGTGCTTTACATCTTGCTTTCCAACCCTTCCCTCCATTCAGTATATCACTGAATGCACGCTGCAGCCAGAGGGTTGTACCTGCTTCCTAAAAGTTTATTCCCACTGGTGTTTACCTTTGAGCACCAGCCTTGTCCCCACAATAGATGATTACAATACAGTGTGTCATTGATTGGACATGGGTCTTACTCTCAAACACACACATGCATTGTCGTTCGCACACCTGTGACGCTGACACTGCGGGAAAAGAGGTGGGCTTCTGCTGGCTGGGGTTGTGTCCCAGACCCTTGCACCCTCCCTTTATCCCCCCCCTCCTGTGCCTTCAGGGGGCTCTGGTTTCACAAAGGGCCCCCTCAAACCACAGAAGAAGCCACGGCTCTCTGTGAGCTTTTGAACCCCTAAAATCCAACCACTCACCCGCCCACTCTCGCCTCCACAGCCGTCCTTGCATTCCCTTCACTCTCTCACTTCTCACACCTCATCCTCCGTTATGAGTAGGAGTGGGAGGGCATGTGCACTCAGTTATAGGTTCAGCTAATGATGGGATGAGCAGTGTAGGGGTGTAGAGCAGGGGAATGAAGAAACCTTTGATATCGTTCCTTTTCCATTTTGATATGAAACAACAAGACGTGCCTCAGGGGCCACGTGTCCATTACCCGAGCCTGTTGAATATGCATTGTTCTTTGTAGTGCAGCACTAAAAGCTAATGCAGGATGTAAACTGAGAACTAAAGTGGACTGGGGTGTGTGGTTGAGGGCTAGGAGGTGGGAGGGGGGTTGGTGGGTAGATTGGGGTTATGTGTGTGTTGGGAGGGGCGGACTGGGAGGGCTGCCAAGCACAGGTGTAAGGCAACTACAGCAGCAGTGGCGGATGGGGCAAACAGCAGGGCCATTGTTCACACACACAAACACAGAGTGCAACAAGTGTGGCCCAGGCAAGCATATGTGAGAACAGGATATTGGCTCATCTGTTAGTCTGATTAGGTACATAGCCCTGCGCTTCCATCTCCTGCAAATTACCACCATCCCCCCCTCACCCCCAAAACAACACCTGATCCTGTTGATCCAGCCATGTTCAGGACCTGGCATGAAAAAGTAGTGCCTTGTCAGATTCACTGCTACCTGATAAGGCCGAGGGGGGAATTAAGAAGCAGGTTCACGGTACATCAGGCTGTTTATGCAAATGACCTGTGGAAGCTACGTTCAGCACGGACAGTTCACAGTTGAAGGAAAGATAATGATCGCTGTGGATTTTCATTTATTCCACCTATAACAACCCTTATCCTTAACGGCCTGAAACCACACAGTGATAATCAGTCACTGTAGAAGCCACACACACGGCAGCTGGATTTTCACAAATCAATATACAAGGGAGACATCTGTAAGTTGTATATATCATGCATACAAATGTGTGTATGTGGTAATGAGCAAATGTTGGTGGTAATGTGGCCCTGGTGTGTGTATTGAGGTGAGAGGCTGGGAAGCTCGAGGGCATGTGTGACCTACGTGTTGAGTTGTAATGTAAACCATCCATGTGTGGTGGGCTTCAGTGTGGTCATTTGTATTTCAAACAGCGAAAGAGGCCTGTGCTGAAGGGGAAACATTCGTGGCAGCTGATGCTGAGATTAATCTCCTGCAAATTGAGCCTGCAATGCCTTTCATGGTCAACTTTTCATGTTCTGTTAGTGTTTGTGTATGTTCTGTCTGTCACCTTAGTACTTAGAAGTTTATGTTAAAAGCATTATTTTGTTGAACCCTCACATTTTAATGTTTGTGTATGTTTTCTTTTATAAGCACTTGCCACATTGTAGGAAACATGTTTCCTTGGTTACATTTTCATCAGGTAATTGGGGCACTCCAGTGATTCAGTATTGCTTTTCCATGAAGTTAGGGGACTTACAAGAGATTGCTTACAAATAAATGGTTAAAATAAAAGAAGTAGATGTAGATGCATATCCTGACTTTTGACGACTGTGGTTTGTGACAAAAACTAAAGAATTGCCTGAGGAAGAATGGAGGCAAATTAAAAAGAGGCTTTGTATCTGTCTGGTTGCACTTGTTAAAAAACTACCAATACAATAAACATGATAAATTCCATTGGTCTGTTTGTGATAACAAGAGGCCAAGACAATATACTGTACAGCCCCCTACGGTATTTATCTTGTGGGTTTTAAATTGGTGTTTATACATTATCTAAGAGCTAATCTTGACTGTGTAATGTGTATGTGTGGGTAAAATGCTAATGCAATGCTAACCTGTGAAAAAGTAAACTAAATTAGAGTAAACTTTGCTCATGACGCCTCCAGACCAAAGCTTCTTCAAGTGTGAGCATTTTTTAACCCAGTTTCAGTTAGGGCACTTAACTGAATGTGATTAATGATTTATCTGACAGAGGGGAACACAAAACTGTTTTCAGCTAATCTTAACCAGAGACATTATTTGTATCAAATCCTCATGCAGATACATTTCAAAATGCTAACTTCAGCTAAATCCAGTTTTTCTGGATTTTAGGACTTGATTTGTTGCCACTGTTGTATTTAAAAGACATTGTGAGACTTTTACATGACCCAAGGTTTCCATACACTTCTCAACATAAGAAAAAAGATGGAACTGTTTGAGATTACTGGCAGATATTTTCATTATCCATTACTTCTGAAGGAAATTGTTAATCAATGGCTTTATCAGTGTATCTATAATCACACGGGCACTCCCTATGTCCATATCTATTCATAATTAAAAACTTCCCCATTCACAGGAGCATCTCCCTGATTTAGAAGCTTACGTAACCTTGCAACTATTTTGCAAAACCTCCTCTCTCTCCTCCGAATTAGAGCTAACTGTCCTTGGAAAGTACTGATCTACCCTGCAGGGGAAAAGGCAGAATAGATGCACCGTACCATTCATTCAACTCCTTATCACAACATTATCTCAGCATTCCTATGCTCTGAGCTGGAACGTGCTCATATTCTCAGA